AACAATGGCCACAGGAACAATGAAACCACAGGAAGCTAGACCTGCCACCCTCGGCCAGGGACCAGAGAATACTACATTAGCTGCTTTTTGTCCCTGTGACAAAGACACTTGGAAAAATAACTTAAGGAAGAAAGGGTGACTTTAACTCAAGGTTTCTGGACTGTGTGGCCCACTGTAGCCTTCCCAGCATCTCACCTTTAGGCAAGTTCAGCAGTCCTCTCTCTGCAGATTCTTTGTGTCCAGTTCATGCATCAGTCCAGGCAAGAGCAGTTTCTTGCCCAAATGGCTATCAAACTCCATAAGGAGCCTCTTTGATGCCTATCTTTTTTTTAATATTTATTTATTTATTATATACACAGTGTTCAGCCTCCATGTATGCTTGCACGCAGGAAGAGGGCACCAGATCTCATTACTGATGGTTGTGAGCCACCATGTGGTTGCTGGGAATTGAACTCAGGACCTTTGGAAGAGCAGTCGGTGCTCTTAACCTCTGAGCCATCTCTCCAGCCCCCCCATCTTTTTCTTGAAGTAGATTGGTGCTGCCAGGAGCAGACATGTCTCATTGTCATGAAAACCCCTAAATTATTAAAACATTAAATGCCATATTCTGTAGTCTTTGAAAGATATGAAAAATGCCCATCTGAAATATATCTATGCACACCTAGAAAGTCTAACTAACATGACTACAAACTTGACTATTATAGATGATTATCTATTAACAACCTATGTACATTATATTTTAAAATGAACTACACAATCAAAATACCTTAATCAAGATCAGAAATACATAGACATATAACAAAATTGACCTTAAACTTGTATCAGTAAACCAAGATTCATACCAATGCAAATTATTCATATCTATATCATATCCCCCTTTAAATGTAAAAGAACATTTATAAACAATATTTGGGAATATGGGCATAGTTATTTCTTTCCAAACTGCTTCGTGCTGAATGGGGGCGCTGTTATTCAGGTCTTTTATGGTATAACCTGTCTGCTAGGTTCATCTCAGTTGGCAGTTGAATGAAGTAATTTTCTGAAGGTGTTCACAGCAACCTTGAAGGAGGGCATGGTCTACCATACCATATTGGGATAGAAGCAATCCACAGGGTCTCATCCTCTGTGAAAACAAAAGAAGAATCTCTTTTCCAAAGCATCATATCCTTAGATCCAAATTCTGAAGTCAGGTTATTTTCAAAATATCTATGTTGGATTAGTTCAGAAGCATTTATAAGCAAATATCTTTTAGCAGCTCTTGATCCTTCCTCAGCATTCAAACAATTCAAAGAGAGCATAATAGCATACAGTATCAAGATTCTCTGTGTATTTTCCAACTTTGTGAGGCTTTACTTTACCCTCTATTTCTTTCTTTTTCTTTTTTTTTTTTTTTTTTTGGTTTTCGAGACAGGGTTTCTCTGAGGTTTTGGAGCCTGTCCTGGAACTAGCTCTTGTAGACCAGGATGGTCTCGAACTCACAGAGATCCGCCTGCCTCTGCCTCCCAAGTGCTGGGATTAAAGGCGTGCGCCACCACCGCCCGGCTACCCTCTATTTCTTTTACTTTTACTTTTATTTTTTGAGACAGGTTCTCTGTATATCTTTGTCCTGGAATAACTCTGTAGACCAGGCTGTCCTTGAACTCTCAGAGGTCCATCTGTCTCTGCCTCCCAGGCATTGGGATTAAAGGTGTGTGCTACCACACCTTGAAGTCACAGAGGTCAATTTACCTCTGCCTGCCAAGTGTTGGGATTAAAGGTGAGCGCCACACACAAACACACAGACACCACAAACAACAAAGAGCTGGCAGAGTGCTTGCCTAGAGTCCTACCACCAGCCCTGCGTAAACCAGGCATAGTAGCTCATGCCTATCATCCCAACAACCAAGAAGTAGAGGCAGGAGAATCAGAAGTTCAAGATCATCCTCAGCTGCATCGCGAGTTCGAGGGCACCCTGGGTACACAGGCCCCTGTCTCAAGACAGAATCTGAAGCTACGATGAGCTGGCTCAGCAATTAAGAGCACTAACTGCTCTTCCAGAGGTCCTGAGTTCGATTCCCAGCAACCACATGGTGGCTCACAACCATATAGTTATTTTTTGGGTTTTTTTTTTGGGGGGGGTTGTTTTGTTTTTCGAGACAGGGTTTCTCTGTGGCTTCTGGAGCCTGTCCTGGAACTAGCTCTTGTAGACCAGGCTGGCCTCGAACTCATAGAGATCCACCTGCCTCTGCCTCCTGAGTGCTGGGATTAAAGGCGTGCGCCACCACCGCCCGGCTCCATGTAGTTGTTGTAATGGAATCTGATGCCCTCTTCTGGCATAAAGTCATATATGCAAATAGAGCGCTCATCTATAAATAAAATAAGTAAATCTTTAAAAAACCAGGCATGGTGGCACATGCATTTAATCCTAATTTAATACTAGCACTTGGGAGGCAGAGGTAGGCAGATCTCTGAGTTCAAGGCTAGCCTGATGGGGAAGTTCAGCCAATCACATTCTGTTTAGGGTATGTGTCCTCCCCCCCACCCCCAGGCCAAGAAAAACAGATAAAACATCCAGGTGCGCTCACCTCTCTCTCTTTTGTTCTCTCTGTGCTCCTGGTTTTCGCTGGATCCTTGGTTGTGTAAGTTTCCTTTTTCCACAATTATTAAATCTTTTGAATTGAGCTGGTCTGGTTAATTCTAACTACCAATTGACCACACCCCTTCACTAGCATGGTCTACAGAGTGAGTTCCAGGACAGTCAAAGATACACCAAGAAACCCTGTCTTGAAAAAAAAAAGCACATACTGCTCTTGGAGAGAAACCTAGTCCAGTTCCCAGTACCTATTTTGGATGGCTCACAACCACCTGTAATTTCGGCTCCTGGGGATTCAATGCCCTCTTCTGGGCTCTGTAGGTACTGCATTTACATGCACCTACACACACACACACACACATATACGCGTGCACAGACACACTCATACTAATTATAAGACTGATGGGCACCTACTGGGCTAAGGAGGCAAATACATGCAATAATTTCAAATAACAGATGGGTGAAGATGCAGCATACATTTAATCCTAGCACTTGGGAAGCAGAGGCAAGGGGATGTCTGTGAGTACAAGGTCAGCCTGAACTATACAGGAAGACCCTGTGTAAGACAGAAAACCAACCAATAATAACAACACTACCAAAATAAGGCCAAATGGGCCTGTGCACCAAAGGTGGTGAAGAAGTTGGCTTTAGGCTCACAGAGACTCACGATGGCAGCCACCATAGGCTCAGGAATTTGAAAAGCTGAGAACATCGGAAAGAGCAGGAGACCGCTCAATTCCCTGGGTCTAGAGAACGACAAAGTTTGGTACTGACAAGATGGACTGGGACCATAATTGGGCTCCTAGAACAAAGTATGGAAACATAGTCTACAACCTTCAAATAGAATGCTGTCCCAAGATGGCTGTGGACTCCTCCCAAGAGACGGCAGAATGGGAAAGAGCCGGGCAAGATCCTGAGGCGGAGGAGCCAGGTTGCCTCTGGAGAATTTAAACATGGTGCTTACGGGTTTGTCAGCAGCTGCAATTGGAGGTCAGCAAAAGTGGAAAGTAAAGGGGCTGGAGCAATAGCTCAGTGGTTAAGAGCACCGACTACTCTTCCAGAGGATCCAGGTTCAATTCCCAGCACCCACATGACAGCTCACAACTGTCTGAAGATTCAGTTGCAAGGGATCTGACACCTTCACACAATGCACATAAAATAAAGTGGGAAGTAAAGCACCTACAAAATCTCTGCTCCTGGCTGAGCCAGGACAGCACCCGGACCCTCAGAACCTGGACGATGAGGGGTCCCTTTGCTCTTTCTTCTCAACCTAGGCAGCTTGCCTGTCAGGATATGGGAACCCCTTCAGAAAATAGCTGATCTTAGGGTGTCCCCAAGCAGGATTCTCTAGCTTTTTGGAGGGACTGAACTGTCCCCTTCTGCGACCTTTAGGCCCCTAAAGCTTGGTACAGCTGACGGCATGGTGCTAAGCTGAGGCCCCAGAGACATCCCAGCAGTACCGCCTCCAGGTGCAGGAGAAAGAAAGACCAGATGCTGGAGATTTTACCATCTCTAGACCCTCATGCTGCACTCTGGGAAGGCTGTGGGACTCGCCCTGACACAAACTCTACTTCTACGGTGAGACAAAGCCTCTGGGCATGGACTCTGAGGATCTCACTGAGGTCTGGGACGGAAGCACCCTCTCCCTGTTCAGATGCCCAGCCAGGACTTGCAGACGATATCTCTCACTTTTCTCCCTCCATAAAGGCTAACAGAAGCTGAATTAGAATTTATTTATTCTGGTTTGGAGGACTGAACCCTGGACTATGCACTTTCTAAGAATTTATGATGCCAAGACAAAATCAAGGTGTGACCAAAGCTGCCTTGTCTCTCATTTTCTCACCATTTTCTTCTTCTTCTCCTCCTCCTCTTCCTCCTCCTCTTCTTCTTCTTCCTTCTCCTCCTTCTCCTTCTTCCTCCCTGTTTTTTGTTTTCCAGGTCAGGTTGTAGCTCTGACTGTTCCAGGCTGGCCTTGACCTACAGAGATCCACCTGCCTCTGCCTCCAGAGTGCAGGGATGGAAGGCGAGCGCCACCACTGCCCGGCTGTTGACCCTGGTCACAGCAGTTGACTCCTGGGTAGCTATAAGGCTGCTGCCGCCCTGGGTGACCTGTGGTAGTGTGCATAGAGGCTTCCGGAGACAGAGACGGGATCGCCCCTCCCCCACCATTTTGCCTTTATTGTCATCATTTGCTTAATCAAGTTCTGTTCTGTAAAACTTTAAAAAAGTGGGCCTGAATTCCCAGAAGCCCCCTCCCCCACCCCCTGTTAGAGTTGTAACAAAAGTAATGCGAATGGAGATAGTGTTTTTCTTTTTTAAGTTGGAAAGTAACTATTTGCTCTAGGGAGTTGGTCAGAGTCCTTCCAGAACTTTTGGAACATCTTGGTGCCAGCAGCCTTAGTGACCTTGAGCACACTGTCTTGCTTGCTCAGGGGCCTGCCCTCTCCATGGTGACAATGTCATTGGTCTGTACATCCCTGAAACAGGGGTGTGGGGGAGAGGACAGGTGCACAGACATGTTCTCGTGGTGATTCTCAAAGCGACTGGACTTTCGGGTGTAGATAGAGATTGTGCCAGAGGATGATAATGGTCTCTGCATCTTCATCTTGGTCGCTACACCAGACAAGGTCAGACCTCCGGTGGAGATGTTATCAGTGAAGGGGCGTTTCTTGTCTACGTAGGTGCCCTTGATGGCCTCCTTGAACTTCTTGAATCCTGGACTAATGTTCTTGTACCAAGGGAGGGTCTCCTTGTTGGTTTCTCCCAGCAGAATCCACTTCTTGATTTGAAAGATTGTGGGCTGCTTTTGGGAAGCTCGCAGGGTCTGGACAGTCATCATCTTTCTGGCAAACTGGGGCGGGGGGAGGGGGACATAGCGTTTCTAACGCAGTGTTTGACCCAGGAGCTATGGCAGAGCTGGTAAAGAGGCAATGTGATAGAATTCCCACAGGAGCAAGGTCATCCTGCAAGAGCCTTATAACTCCACCTCCAGCTTCGGAAAGGCCAGAGGCACACCAACTAATCACCAAGAAAACTCAGTCTCTGCTTCCCCCGTTCTATCTAAGTCTTCATCTCCATGGTAGCACATTTTTCAGATAAACGCCTCCTGGGAGTGGAAAACATTGAAGATGCTGCCCAAAGACAGCGGTTGCAACATCGCTGAGACTAACTCTTCTTGTTCTTTTGAAAAATGTGTGTGCTGTGTGCAAACACTTTAAAGAATATATCTAGGGCCGGGCGGTGGTGGCGCACGCCTTTAATCCCAGCACTCGGGAGGCAGAGGCAGGAGGATCTCTGTGAGTTCGAGACCAGCCTGGTCTACAAGAGCTAGTTCCAGGACAGGCTCCAAAACCACAGAGAAACCCTGTCTCGAAAAACCAAAAAAAAAAAAAAAAAAAAAAAAGAATATATCTAGGGGCTGGAGAGGTGGTTAAGAGAGTAAGAGTGCTGGTTGCAACCAGGCCAGCAGAAGCAGAAGTGGCACACATCTTTAATCCCAGCACTCAGGAGGCAGAGACAGGTGGTTCTCTGTGGATCCAAGGCCAGCCAGCCTGGTCTACAGAGTGAGTTCCAGGACAGCCAGTGGCTCACAACCGTCTCTAGTGATGAAGGAAGGTCATTGGTTAAATAAAAAGAAACTGCTTGGCCCTCATTGGTTAGAAGAGGAGTAAACATTGGTTAGGTGGGAGGAGTAAACAGAACAGAACGCTGGGAGGAAGAGGAAGTGAGCTCAGACTCCACAGCTCTCCTCTCGGGAGCAGATGCCTCAGAGAGACGCCATGCTCCCAGCTCCCAGGCAGATGCATGCGATGAAGCTCCGACCCAGGATGGACATAGGCTAGAATCTTCCCGGTGAGCGCACCTAGGGGCGCTACACAGATGATTAGAAATGGGCTAAATTAATATGTGAGAATTAGCCTGGAAGAGGCTAGATAGAAATGGGACAAGCAGTGATTAAATGAATACAGTTTGTGTGTTGTTATTTCGGGCATAAGCTAGCCAGGCAGCTGGGGTGCTGGGGACGCAGCCCCGCCACCCTTATTACTACACTCTAGCTCCAGTTCCAGGGGATCTGATGCCCTCTTCTGGCCTCCAATGCACCAGGCATGCTTGTGGTGCGCATATGTGCATGCAGGCTTAATCAAATATCTATAACAGGATGGCTTTGGTTATTCCCGGCATCTGGGAGGCAGAGGCAGGTGGACCTCTGTGAGTTCAAGACTAACCTGGTCTACAGAGTGAGTTCCAGGAGAGCCAGGGCTACACAGGGAAACTCTCAAAAAAAGGTTAACTAGGGCTGGAGAGATGGCTTAGTGGTTAAGAGAACTGCCTGCTCTTCCAAAGGTCCTGAGTTCAATTCCCAGCAACCACATGGGTGGTTCACAACCACTTGTAATGAGATCTGGTGCCCTCTTCTGGCCTCCAGGCCAGGCAGACCACTGTATACTTAATAAATGAAAAAAAAAGAAAAGAAAAAAGTTTAACTATCTATAACACATATACGCATAAAATAAATATATACACATAAATTTATAGATCTATATCTACATACATTATCTCTATATCTATACATCTGTATTTCAAACTGTAGAACCCTTTCCTCTTGAGTTGCCTTGCTTCTGAACCTGGGCTAATCTGTCTTCCTGTCTCCGGCCACACCCCTCCAGCAAGTCTGTCATTTCTCTGCGTCTTGCTGAACCAAGTTGTTTCTCTCTGTGTACCCCGTCATTAAGCGGGAGTGACCGTACATCACTGCAGAGTTATCTGAGGCAAGGGCACCTCAGGGCAGCCTTGCTCTAGCCATCTCTGATGCAGTCACGCCTCTGCAAGCCAGGCCATCCTACGCGCCAGCCACAAGACAGCTGGCCTGCAGATCCAGCCTGGGGCCTGGCCAGCCTGCTTCCCTAGGCTCTGCCATAGGCAAGTGGAGACAACGGGGGGAGAGATGCCTTACACAAAGTGAGGCTGCTTAGAACCTCAAGATGGACCTGAACTGAACAGTCCCAGCCAGTGAGTGGAAGTGGTAAGAAGGTGGGGCAGACTTCTGGGTGACGGGCTCAGACTGGTACTGCCAGCTGGACCAGAATGATTCCTTCTGCCAGGACCTGTCCTGGCCGCATGCCTGCTCCAGGTGTTCCGATTTAGGAGTTGCCCCACAGAGGAGCTTATACTGCTAAGAAGCTGAGAGAGTGGGAGTTGGTGGTGGTAGGGGACAGGGTGTGCCAGTTAGGTCCCTGCAGGAAACAGCTCCTCCTCCCATGGACCTTGGGAGAGCAGGACTGTGGCTTTAGGAAGGAGTGTGTGTGTGTGTGTGTGTGTGTGTGTGTGTGTGTGTAGTACACATTCGAGGGCAATCGTACGTGTTGGTGTGAATGCGTGTAGCTGTGTGCGTTTGTGGAGACCCAAGGTTGAGGCTGGGAACCATTCTCCTTTGCTTCTACCTTATTCATTGAGACATTGCTTAATCAAACCCAGAGCTCCGGATGGGGCTGGTCTTCCAAACTAGATCGACTAGACATGAAAGTCCCCTACCTCCACCTTCCGAGGCTGGAATTACAGATGGACTCAGGCATTTGTGTGGATTCTAGAGCTCTGAACTCTGGTCCTCATGCTTGCATGGCAAGCATTTAACTGCTCAGTGTCACCCCTGCCCTTCATTTTTCCTAAGAGCGTCACAGTGGTCCCCAGGCTAGCCTTGAGCTCAGGATCTCCTGTCTTTGCCTTCCAGGCATAGGATTACAGATCTGCTCCATCACACACAGCTCTCGTCTCTTCTCTTTGAGATGGTCTTGTTTAGCTCAGGATGACTTCTGACTCGCTTGGTAGCTGAGGCTGGCATTGAACTCCTGAACCTGGCCTGGCAGTGCTGATAGTAAAGACATACATCATCTTACAGTTCATGTGGTGCTGGCGCTGGAACCTAGGCTTCCACACGTGCTTGGTCAACACTCAGCCACTGACTCACATACTAAACCTAGTTTGGCTGTTTTTTTGTTTTTTTTTTAGAGCCTGTCCTGGAACTAGCTCTTGTAGACCAGGCTGGTCTCGAACTCACAGAGATCCACCTGCCTCTGCCCCCCAAGTGCTGGGATTAAAGGCGTGCGCCACCACCGCCTGGCTTGGCTATTTTCTTCTTCTTATTTTTTGTTCATTTACTTTGTGTGCTTGTGTATATGTGTGAGCATGAGTGTGAGTGTGCCATGGTGGGTGTGTGAAGGTCAGAGGACAGTTTTGGGGAGTAGATTTTCTTCTACTAGGTGGGATTTAGAGGATTGAATTCAAGTCACCAGGCTTGGCAGGAAGCGCCTTTGCCTTCTGGACCATCTTGGCAGAATTGGTTTGGCTTTTTTGAGACAGATCTTACCATGTTGCTCAGGCTAGCCTGGTGCCTCTGACTCCTGAATGCTAGGATCACAGTCCTGTACTGCCACACCTGGCTGCTTCTCTGGAATTCTAATTCTTCCTTTCTTCCTCTTCCTTCTTCTAAGACTTTTAAAAATTCCGTGTGTGGGTGTGTATGCGCGCGCGCACACACACACATACACACACACACACACACACACACGCACATGCATAAGCATGCGGTTCTTTCAGAGGCCAGAGGCATACAGTTCCCTGGAGCTGGAGTTACAGGAGATTGTGAGCTACTGATATGGGTGCAGAGAACTGAACTCAGATCCTCTGAAAGAGCAGACCATGAGCCATCCCTCCAGAACCAGTTCCTTAGATTATGTGACACTAGGCTCCAGAGCCCCCTAGGGCCCCTTAAATCTCTCCCTGGGTCTCCTGGAGGATGACAGATGGATAGAGCAAAGCAAGCAAGAGGGGAGCTTTGACTGTGTAATAGCCTTAACCTGGGCTAGTCAAGGCAAGCTCTCTCGAGCAAGCAGATACTAGGATCACTGTCAATCTTGACCAAACGTCAAACACAATCCACATTCTCTGCTTAAGAGCTCAGAGACCAGGTTCCATTTGCAGGCATCTGCACAGGAGGGTGTGGGCTGACTAGTCCAACACCTCAGGAATCGGCCTGCGATTGCCACACCCCTGTTCCTTCTCTACGACCCTCCTTCTCCTCACTCAGCCCTTGGATGTTGCTGCTTTTGATAGTATTTTTAATTTTTATTTATTTTGTTGTTGCTGTATTGACAGAGCCTCAAAACAGGCTGGTTTGAACTTGCTCTATAGCCAAGAGTCACTTTGAACCTCCCCCCCCCCTTCTTGCCTGCCTATGCCTTCTAAGTGCAAACTGGTATATAAAGTAAGGATTTTGGCTATATATATATATGGTGAGAGTATGACCAATGCAAGGTATGATTGAGGGGAAGGTTTTAATTGTAGATGTGAGGGAGAGTACAGCCCAGGAATCTGGAAGAGCCCAGAGCAGAGAGAGAAAGTGGTAAATTGAACATGACCAGCAGACAGGACCCAGCCGTGAGAGGAGGGGGCAAGGAGAGGAAGAGAGAAAGACAAAGAAAGTATGGGCAAAGGAGGTCAAGAGAGGAAGACAAAAGAGAGGGAGAGAGAGGGGAGGGGGCCAGGAGAGGGAGGAAAGGAAGCCCACAGGCTGGAGAAGTTGAGGGTGGGGGATAGGACCAGAAGAGCCCAGAAAGAGCCACAGGTACTTGGAGTACTGAGGAAGCGGCCTGGAAGCCTGCGTGCACTTTGATATGCCAATAGGCACCACAGACAAGAAAACTGTTCCTTTAATAAGGGGGAATGGTGTCAGAATTTGGGGGAGTTTCCTTTGGACCTGGAGAGAGGTAGCTCTGCCTGACTCTCTACTGCTTTACTTTTCAAATGTTATTTTTATTTTACGAGCATTAGTGTTTTATCTGC